ACCTCTAGTATACAAGAAGCTACACAAATCAGCAGAGAAGAAAGGCATTATCACACCTATACCTTTTTCTTTTGAAATACTCCTGTAATCTTGAAGCTAGTAATAATCTTTATTGCTGGTATAAACTATCTCCATAAAATAGAAATATGCCAAAGTGCTCTTCTAGTATGTGCTTGTGAAAGATTGCTGTTATTCTCCATGACAGAAACTCGATTAACTTCTTAATTTGCACTTCAGTGTTCTGTATGTAGATTGCAAACTTCTCTTCAATTAGTAGTCATTATGTAATGAATTATTAGAGAGCAACAATTTTAAAAGGAGATAGGTACAATTACTAGAGATGTGAGACAGTTCTTTGAATATGCTTTAAAACTTGGAGGGAGCTTGGAAATTCTTCAGAGTGTAAAGTGCATGTTATGGCTTTTCTGTATTTCACCGTTGTTTCTGTGAAGTGTGGTGGTAAGTGGAAATCTGCAGTGGTTTAGGGGGTTTAGATATATTCTAGAAAATGTTATCCTGTCCAAGAAAAAGCAACTTCAGGCTATGTTTTATCATTAACTTTTGTTGTTTTAATGCTAGCAACTAGAAAACTTTATATGTATACTTATAGGTATATAGTTCCATTATATATGTGAACTATGTATACTACAGAGGCAGGGACATTCCATATAAAAGCGTTGCTATTAGAAAAGCTTTCATCTGCAGGTTTCAGAATAGCATGCAAGATACTAATTTGTGTGATGAATCTGATCTTTGTTACTAATCCCTTTTCCCTGCAAATTTTCTGATTTTGTGTTAAAAATAACTTTCGTGCTTATGGCAGTTAGTCAAAAGTGACTTTAATTTTTTCCCTGAGGAGCATAAGCCATAAATAAGCTTGGCTGATACCATCAAGCAATCAAAGACAATCTTGAAGAATTTGTTTTCTTTTGAGCAGTGACATCTCTTTTGCTGATACTGGTATGCTTCTTTGTACCATGGAGAACTAGAATTTTAAAACGCCTTGTGAAGCGTAGCTCCCCAAATGCCTGGAGTCTGGTGCATGCAGGAAAATACACTTATCTTTCAGAATAATCTCTTTGAGCTCAGTTTAGATGCTGTTTTTGACAAATGTAGATTTTATTGTGTCTAGTAGTTCTGATTGTTGATGGATGCCATGGTGTTTATCTGTTTTATCTCATTCCTGGTGAGAAGAACGGCCTCTTTCCTGTTGCCCTTCTGACTGTGACTGCAATTCCCATGAATCTTGCAGCAGCATTGCAGGGTGTGATGCTGTTGGACTGTGAATCTGGTCCATTGCCAAATGCCATGGTGTGCTTTTTCCTAATTTTCTGATTTTTGTGCTATCTTTGAATAACTTTTAAAAATTGAATTATGTAATTTCCCAACTGCAGAATTTCCAAGTTCCCTCCAAGTTTTAAGGCATATTCAAAGATGGAAGCACATTCCATGTTTTCTCTGAGTTTCACTGTTTCCATGTGTGGAATAATTATAAATTAAACTTGCATTTAAAATGTAGCATTGTTCACGCATAAAGGGAAAATGGACTTTCAGGGGAAGATGCCGCTATACCTGGTATGTGAGGAATGTGCACTCCACAGCAGTTCCCATGCCAACATTGATGGAGGATGGAGCGAAGTAGAGATTCTGCAGGCAAGCTCTGCCATAACATAAGCAGAGATGGGAACTAGGTGGGACTAAAAACAGATAAGCTGCATACTTGCTAACCTGAGCCAACAGTCTGTCATCTTTTGACAAAATGTTGTGCGAACTTTGCTTCATTATAATGCATTTTAATACAAAACCACACCTCTACCTCCAGTGCTACCAGCCTCCAAAGTGAGACTACCCCTCTTTGAGCATGCTCTTAATTCTTTGTGGTATATACATTTAAAAGCAAAGTGAGAGAATTTTACACCAATAATAATAAAGGTATGTGTGGCAATGGAGGCATGGACTCCGTTTCTGGTTACAAACAAAATCCTTTATTGAGTTAGCTTACAGGCTTTTATAATATTCTGCCTAGCGGTTAGTAGTGGTTAGTTCCATTGGTACTTTTCCATCATGAAACAACCTTACTGATCACACGCTCTTTCAGCCGATCACCTTACTGTCCACACGCCTTTGCTTGAGCAATTATTTCTAAACATAGCTCTATCACTACTCCTTACATTGTTACTTACACTCCCCTTGACCACACCTCCTTTATCTTGTCTTAAGTGACCTTCTGTTTCCATATTTACAGTTCTCAGCAATTATCTTGATTTTCTTTCTTTGGTTCCTCCCGATGTTCTTTCTCCGGTTCCTCCCGACTTGTCCCGTTTACTTCTCCCAAGGTTTGCGGCTGATAAGAGTCCAGATGTCCGGGCTCTCATCCAGGTCTACTGGCGTTGCCAGCGCAATTTCTTGCAGAACATTCCCCACATATCTCCCTTCTTTTAAACTACTAAAGCATTTTTGATAGGTTTAGTGATCAAATGATTTATACAAGTAATTAAACAAGGACCTGTGATTAAAATACATAAAAAGATTCCTACGCAGGCTAATGCGATTTTAATAATGTCTTTAAACTGTGCACTGATGCCCCATCCTGACAGCAAACTTTCTAGCCAATTCCAGCTACTCTCCACTTGCAGCCTCTGAACTCTGTCCTTTAAGTTTTGAATTTCTTCATGGACAGACGCAGTGTGATCAGACAGGTTCATGCAACGCATCCCATCAAAGTCTTTACAACCGTGTCCTTGAGCTCGTAGCAAAAAAATCTATGGCAGCTCTATTTTGAGGCGTAGCATGTTTGACTGAATCGTTATCTGTCAGCAGACGGTTGTTGCGGGTGAAAAACCTCCAGGGTAGTGGCTGAGTCTTTTCCCGCCTCTCACCGGGAGGAGTGGACTGCCCGCCGCCCCGCATCGCGCATCTTGGTGGGCTCAGCACCAACCTGTTCCTGCCGCAGTACACAGAGGGGAGGGGAGGGCGAGCAGCGCAGCCCTCTGCCCGCGAGCCGACAATGTGTGGAGCCCGCCGGAGCCTGCTGCTGCCTCCCCCGTGCGAGTGAGCGAGGCCGCGGCAACAGGGAGGTGGAGGCGGCCCGCCCGTGCTCTGCAGCTCTTATGTCTCGCCGCCGCCAGGCGTAGCCCTCGGCCGGAGGGGATCCGCCCCTGCAGCCTCTGTCCAGCTCCCGCGGGAACGCCGTTTTCCTCTTCGCCGTCCAGCCCGCGGTTCGCCTCATAACGGACAGGATGGGTAGCATTCAGTTTTTGGAGAAGGTTTACATCACCGTGATTTTTCGCTTCTTTTTTAATGTTTTTCCACACATCATGCGGGTCAGCGAGGTAAAGGTCGGTCTCTTTATCAGGGTTAATTGGTCCGTGATCAAAAGGGCCATCTTCGGCTGGCTCATCTGCTGCCTCAGCCCCAGTTACCAGGGGTGTGGAAGATTTGGTTTGGGATTGCAGAAGGCAGGCTTGATCTTTTGAGCCAACATGTTTCTCTGTTATCTCACACACAGTTCACCAAGGGGCAAGCAAGCTTGATGCTATGGGGTCTCCCCTGTTTGCCTGATCCCAGAGCTTAATGCCTGCTTCATCCCATTTCTCAGGGTCATAAATATTTATTTTGTCTACACCAGGCACTTCCATGGAGACCCATTTTAATATTTTTCTCAGATCAGATTCTCCTATTTCTGCCTTATTCTTGGCCATCATGACTTCCATGAGTCTGCACAGTTTTTTCTTCTCTAGACATTGTTATAAATTGAGACCACAACGGATCATAATCCAATTAAAATTTTATTAATTATAGCAAGTAGAATGTGAGCAAAACCAGCGCTGGACGACAGGGGAGTCTGCGCTCCCCCAACTGCTGTGCTGAGCAGTTCAAACAGCCCTTTTTATACATCTTTACTTCCGTGTTCATGAAGTAGTGGAGGTACTCTGCGCATGCTTCAGCTGTCGCTAGGAGGTCAACTTCTGTCTCCTGGTGGTCGTTGAGGCTGAAGTAAGAAGTCTTCCTTCTTTGTTCCATAGTTGACCTTTTACTCATATGTCCTTATATGGAGTTGTTTGTCTTATTTCTGCCAGTTCCTGGAACATCTTACAGTTATCTTTAGTCAACATCTGCTATGTTTGCATAAGCGGTACTTGGTTTAGTTTGTGTAAGCGATTGCGGTTATCTTATCTTGCACAAGCTGTGTCTGGCGACTGTTTGAGTAAGCGATTTCATATCCTTTGTTGCCTAACCTTTACATTGGGCTTAACATAAATCTTAATAAACAATATCCTTATCCTTAGTTTCTTACAACATTTCAGATCCCATGTTTCCCGTTGCTCACCTCTGTCCTGAAAAGATGATGGAGTGCGGCACTGCTGTCCTGCTTCCTTTCAGCAGCGTTGAGTTCAACAGGACGTTGCCACCAGTTCAGCACTGCAAGCTGACATCTATTTCCCAGATGTGTTCCTGTTCAGGCGCCATTTGTGGCAATGGAGGCACAGACTCCGTTTCTGGTTACAAACAAAATCCTTTATTGAGTTAGCTTACAGGCTTTTATAGTATTCTGCCTAGCGGTTAGTAGTGGTTAGTTCCATTGGTACTTTTCCATCATGAAACAACCTTACTGATCACACGCTCCTTTAGCCGATCACCTTACTGCCCACACGCCTTTGCTTTGCTTGAGCAATTATTTCTAAACATAGCTCTTTGCCAGCGCTACTCGTTACATTGTTACTTCCACTCCCCTTGACCACACATTCTTCATTTTGTCTTAAGCGGCCTCCTGTTTCCATATTTACAGTTCTCAGCAATTATCTTGATTTTTTTCCGGTTCCTCCCGACTTGTCCCATTTGCTTCTCCCAAGGTTTGCAGCTAGTAAGAGTCCAGATGTCCGGGCTCTCATCCAGGTCTGTTTGGCTCTGCTGGCATACCTTCTTGCATGACATTCCGCACAGGTATGTATGACTGGAGTCACTCAAGCTCCACCTTGATGGAGAAAAATAGTATAAAAATGGCCCAAGGAAGTGGGAATGTTAGGGAAGACATCATTGTGGATGGGTCAAGGAAGATTCCATCAGCAGATTACCCTTTACTCCTGGGACTGGTTGACAGGGTGGACCCGTCTTCCCCCCCATAGGGACGCCTTTGGGTGAGACTTGCACTGTACCAAGTGCTTCCTCAGGAATATTAGGAATCTCTATATAGTTACTTTCTACTTTTATTTTAAAGCCAGGCTGTGTTATTCATAACTTTATCGTGCATTTGTAAAACCTGTTATTTGCACATGCTGTTGCAGACAGTGTATTTATTACCGGCAATGCATAAGAACCTGTATCTGTTTCTGCAATAAACTCTACTGTTTAAGTAGCTAATTGTAATAGTTTTCTCATTGAATGTGACCAAATCCTTCAGTGTGGCCGTGTTAATTCACGAGCATGATTAGGCTGAAGGTTCAGTGTGCTATTAGTGCATCTGGAATTGTGATTGTTCAGTATATCAAATGTGACCAGACTGGTAGTGGTAAATTGGGCATCAGTCAGAATCTAAGCCTAGCTGCACCCAACCTTTCTAATATCTGAGGACCAGGTAGAGCACAAGGGGGGTTTATTTTCTGCCAACTTGTCTTGCCTTTTAATGCAACACCATGAAGTGTGATGACAAGAAATCTGCAGCTGTATCCCTGCCTCAGATATCCCTATTGAAACATAATTTCAGATTTGTAACATAAATATTAACATTGCCGTGACTGATATATCAGTGAAAATGTGTAGAAATAGCAGACCAAGACTTCAAAGAATGTCCTGTGGTGGCAGTGAAGAAGCATCATTTCCAGTACGCTGTTTCCAGCAATAAAATTGGAAAACGTATTGAGTGTAAGGGTGCATGGAAGATGAGAGCATCTGCTTTAATAACCTTTTCAGTGCAAAAGGAGACATTACATGGGAAGGAATAAACCAAATGTTCAGAGGCACAAACTTGATGTATAAACAGTACTGGGGATAATAACAAGAAGTAAATAGCTACAGTAATTGGTAAGAATGTGTAGAATGCGAGAGTGTTTATTTCAGCAGGGTTATCTGACCACAGGCCTTGTCAAATGGGGTTATAGGGAAAAGAGAGAAGCAATAAAGAAGACTTAGACAAACCTGACAGGCAAATGTGAAGGAATCAAACAAACCTCAGTAGTCTTGCTAACTAAGTGATGGGCCATTGAGAAGCTGTAGGTGAACCTAGACTTTTAAACTGATGAGAGTGAAAACCTGAGAGTCCCTGGTGTGACTGGGAGGAAGAGGGTGGTGCAACTCTGCAGAGGGGGAACAGACAGAAGAGGTTATAGAAGGGGCCATTTGTCTAAACAGTGGCTGATCAGGAGTCTGTGACTGATCTCTGCCTGATCCCTGCAGCTAGTCTTGTCATCTTTTCTTAACCTTTTTTCTGCATAGTGTCTTTATCCCTTCTGTGTGGTGCCAGCAACTGGAGTGAGAGGGTGCGTGGGTCAGTAGTTGGAAGTACCATAGTTCTAGGCACCATCTCCATAGGTCCCACAGACTTTGTCTAGAGTGCCAGGTACATGGGAACAGATGTGAGTGGATTTAGTGCCAGCAACAGGAGATGGACCAAGGCTGTAGGCACCTGTGGTGCCAGCAGTTGGAGTGAGTGGAGGCCTCACCAGGGTGAATGAGATGCTTGGTCGCTAGAGCAAGACTGGTTCACAGCTTGTATGCCTGATACTGGTTGACAGTGAGGGTGAATGGGGTGTATCTTCCCCACACTGGGTGTATGGGGTTTGCCTGTATAATTTGCTAGCAGACTTCAAGGTGGACTAGCTGGTGGGTAGGAAGCACTGGGTCCAGGCAGAGGTAGCAGATGGGCAGAGGGTCTATGCTGGTATTTAGGGGGATTTGTGAGTGTTATGATTTAAGCATTGTACCAGCTACAAGGAGGGAGAAAAGAAATAACTCTTACAGCTGAAACCAGGACAGTGAGCATGGAGTGCTTATGAAACAAGCATGTGAGTGTATGCATCTGTTTGCTAATGAGCATAGAGCTGGACCAAACGGCAAGTAGGAGAGCCTTCAAAGTGGGCAAGAGGGTGTGGGATCCTTGCAAGTGTGTTGGATGGACAGAGGAGCTGTACTGGTACTTGATGGATCTTAATGTGTGTGTGCTTGTGACTGTAGAGAGTCTGGGTATGTGGGTTTTAGAGAGACACTTGATCCTGACTGGCCAAAGAGGAGGAAAGTGAATTGTCTGTCTGTACTTCTGTTTTATGTGAGTCATGTGTATAGATGATGTTGAAGGCAGCACGTTTTGTCTGTTTCAGTGTCCTGTATGTGCCTCCAGGATGTATGCTCAGCCTTGCTCCTGGCTGAACCTGCAAACGGGATAGCAGGAGTGCTCATAGGCCTGCTGTGGAGATACCTGGGTTTCCAGACAGGGTTCCAGCCTAGGGACAGGAGGAGCCACCAAACCACCAACCTGCTTGGGGTGGTAACTTACGGCATCCCTTCACAAGCACTGAGAGTATGCCAATGAGTTAATTAGAAGAGAATAATTTTGATGGGTTTTGCATTAATGGCTGTTGCTTGAACTGAAAAATCTGACCTGTTTGTTCTGTGTGCACATCCTGCTGTGCTAGATTTGGACTTTGAGAATGAAGTGCATTCACTTCACAAAAAATAAAAAATAAAAAATCTCCAAATAAAAAAAAACAAAACTTGTTAACAAACTGACAGAGATACTGTTGGATGATACTGATTAAAGTCACATTAAAAGTCCGGGTGGTTGGAGGACACAATGCTAAAAACACCAAGGAAGGCTGGGAGGAAGAGCCTGATTCAACATGAAGTTCATGGGTGTAAAACTGAAACGGGCCCATCCAAGAAACATTTTTCTGATTCTCATCTGAAGCAGCAAATGGCGTTAGGACAGCAAAGCTAATAGGAAAATGCACTGTTGGAAATGATGGAATGGGAATCGGCAAGAAGTGACTGGTCTTTGTATTCTTAAAGTTACTGTAGCTACTGTGTGATCGACTGTCAGTTTGAGATGCAGGTAATTTCTGACAAATTATCTCCTACATTACTGCTAAGAATTGTTGTGGCAAGAAAACCCTTGTTTGCTGGTGCTGCTGTGACAACCAAAATACAGATATAAACTGAGGAAAATGAAAGTTCTCGTTGTATATATACTCTTTCCTTTGGGCACATTTGGTTGATTCCAACCATCAGTACAAATGGAGGTCTGCGAAGCTGGTCTAATATATCTGCGATATTGTATATCAAATGTACTGAATTAATTCAAAATGCTTTTGGTTAACTGAGACTGGCTGCTAGAAGTCTAGAAGCAGAAATGGGGGAGCAAAGTTGTGCTGGCCTGCAGAAAGGACAAAAGTTCAGCTGTTCTTGAAAGCTTATGTTTGCTGAACACCATGTCCTGGAGAGGGGGGAAACAACGAAGATCAGAGTGACTGGCACTGAAATACATATGCTTGGTGTTTAAGAGTTTCGATCTGGTTAAAGGAAACTTTTAGTAATGAGTAAGAATCTCTTATAACTGTTGTGAGTGCCTCAGTTACACTTGTTGCAGGGGAAGTTCAAAGTGTGTAAGGAACCACTGCTAAAGGTAGCAGCAGAAGAGGTTTTATTCAAGTATGATGTAAAAGTGAGGCTTAAGATAAGTCCCATGGCAAGGTTAAATTTATTACTGCACAAAGGATATAATACTAATTAAAAAATATCAATACAAGATCTTAATGCCCTGTGATTCAAGATTATACATTATAGCAGTCACTTACCAAAAATCTGCTGTTGGTAAGGGGTCTCTCAACCTCAAGGAGTAACCTTGAGAGGCCTCCCAAGCCAAGGGGAGATCATCACTGTGCACCCAGCTGCTTAGCAGGGGGACTTTGGAAAAGGCTTGCTCAGGTTGTCACATTTATGGAATAAAATGGTTGGCTTGTAGTCAAATTACATGTGATGGGAATGGTAAACATTAGACTGCTTGTACCCACAACTTCAGTTGTTCCTTGACAAATTAGACTTGGAAGAGCAGCCTGTTATTCATGTGTTAATCACATGGTTAGTGTTCTGGTTTCCCAGCTCACATGCATCAAAGCTCATTGTCTCACTGTGTTCCTGTGTGGGTTTTCAAAGAGCAGGTTGGAACTAGAGAAGTTGGTGACCTGGTCATGACCTTGCCATTTACTTCCCTGGGAGCCTGAACCAAACTGTTACTATTATGGTTAGGGAGTTGAGCACTTCTGTCACACTCCACTGTGTGACTACAGTTAATCGACCTTATTGAATCATAGAGCCATAGTATGCTTACTTCTTTCCTCTATGTCATAAATATTCAACGTATTGCAGATCAGTGATAAGGTACACTTATTTGGTGAGTTACTTAGCTTAAACGTTACTATTAATGCTAATTATATACTGTTGTGCAAACAGAATCAGTTTGATTGCATGTGTTTTACGTGTTGCTGTAGGAATGAGGTCTGAGGCCATGAGGTATGTAGTGAAAGGATTAATGAGGTCAATATTCTAATGGAGTGATTGGTTGCTGAAGAAGGTGATATCAGACAGAGGCTAGATGGCCTGCCTCAGCAGGGTTGGAAGAGGGTGAGATAAAATGATTTACAGTTCTGTTCCACCCTTGTGCAAGACCCATAGCCCATGGGGTGCCTGACTGAGACTCTCATTATCCCTCATTTACATTTGGTGGGACATCTTTGAGCACATCTCTAAGCTGGACCTCCCTGCACTTCCATCTCATTTCTATACCTGCAAAGACTATGAATCTTGAATGTGCCTTAGGAGTGCCTACCTTACGCCCATGATAGAAAAGTACTCCTATTACACCACATTGGTGAAGCGAGCCAAATGTGAGTTACATTCTGACCCAGAAGAGTGGAAAGATCGTGGTGAAGCCACTGGATTGGTGTGGGCTGTTGAAGCATTGTTTGACTCTTGTGTGCACTCAACTCTGGTTAAATAAACTCGCCTATCAAGTAGAAACTCCTGCTAATGCTATTTGGGATTCTTTAGCTATACTCAATTCTCAGCCATAAGCCACTTCCAAAATGACCCTTGCAAAGCTGATACACCAACATGGAGTAAGTGGATATCCATATCTCCCAAGAGGACT